ACAAGCTACATCTCCAACCAGGGGCTCACTGGGTAGCCCCAGAGGGCTTTGAACTCACAGTCCTCCTGCATGATCTCCCCCAGTTCTGGGATTACAGGTATACACCACACCTGATTTGAAAAGTAGGGTCTTAAATGAGCTAAGGTAAAGCAAAATCATTATCTAAGCTGATCACTGTCATTTATAAGAGGATGAATACGGCCTGCAACCTCAGCACCAAGAAAGCTAAGACAGGAGGATTCTGGGAGTTTCAAAGGGGGAGAGGGGACAGAGACACACACAAAGGGAAGAGCATGCAGAGTCATTAGAACGCAGTCACCTGCAAGCCATAGACACAGGCCACCGAAACTCTATCTCAGATCTGCAGCCCCCAAGATTACAGAACATATCAGGGTCCCTTCAGCCCCCTGCTCCGTGATTCTTGAAGCAATCCAAGCACCCATGGTTCTTCCCCTCGGGCTGCACCTGAGTCCCAGGACTATGGCGTCTTGTCCAGGCCCCTCTCTCATAGACCAGGCCATCTGCTCCGACTGCCACCAGCCCAGAGCAAGTCCCGACTGTCTGCTGTGGGTCCTTTCCTTACAAGCTCAATCTTTCTTCCTGGTCCCTGTCTCACCTCCCCATTTCCTCCCCTGAAGCCTCAGTGCAAACCAGTGGAGCAATGCCCCCCACTCTGTCCACCTGCCCGCCACATTTATGCTTCAGGATCTAGCACAGGTGTCCTCTATGAAGCCACCAGCCTGACGGTCCTGGCTGGGAGATACGAGTCTGTCCCTGTTGTCTGCACCCCGGTTCCCCCTGGGCCATCATCTCCATCATCATCCAGAGGCTGCAGTCTTCTGGGCCCCATGTGTCTCTCTCGTCAGCCTGGTGACATCCCCAGAACAAGTCTGGTTTTATCTTGGGGTCATCATAGCTGATGGTGACCCAGGTCCTGAGCTCCACCCTCCAGATCTTTCCTTCTGCTCCCCGCTCCTGGGAGCCTTCCCTCCTCTTCTCTTGGAGCCTCTGCCCAGGGTCACCTTGCCTGTACAGCCCTCCCTGGCCCTCCATGTAGTCAGTGTCTCTCTCCTCTCGGCTTCCCCCACTATGCTCCCCATCATACCTTGTCCAATCAGGAAGCGACCCTGATTCTGCCCTTAGAGGGGATGGTGGCTAGAAATAAAACATAGTCTGAGGGAAAACACCACTAACCATTCTGTTTTTCTTGTTCTTTCTAAAATTTCAAACCATGACCCCGCATTCCACGCCTGTCAAGAGAAGGGTCAAGTTATTCTATGGAGGGTAAACAGGGTTCCACTGACGGATGGACCAATTCAACTGAAGTTCTCAACCACGCTAGGCAGGGCTCTACCACTGAGCCACGCCCCAAGCCCCTCACTGAAGGATTCTAGGCAGAGGCTCTCTATCACTGAGCTATGGTCACAGTTCTTCCCTTTGGAGGTTTTCTTGTTTGTTTGGGGATAGGGACAGATATGGGAGTTGAGACATGGTCTCTTTATATAGCCCTGGCTGTCCTGGAACTCACTGTGTAGACTAGGCTGGTCTCAAATTCAACATTCCTCTTGTATCCATCTGCTGAGGGCTAGAACCCAGGGCCTTGTGCGTTCTCTACCACTGAACCACACCCCCAGTACTGGCATGGAGATTTTTATCCCCCCCACCTCAGGTAATTTCAGTGTGCTCTGGAACCATGGCACCTCCTGAAGTCTCAATCACATGGAAAAGTTATGAAGCTATTTATGGTTGCCCCTCCCTGTCATCCCAGGTCATGTGTGACTTTTTGCAGAAACTGGCAGGGAAAAGTACCAGGCTCTCTTGGAGCTGCCTTGTCCCTTAGTTTCTACCACCCTCAGGCCAGACCCACCCCCAGGCTGTCCAAGCTCTGAGTTCACCCTCACTTGCCCCAAATGGCCCAGGCCTGGGACCCTGGGTCTCTTCTGCCCTCCCCGGCCCTCCCTCCCTGACTTTCACTTCTCCTCTGCGTTTCCCCCAGCCAGTTTTTAGCAGACTTAGGCTAGCTTCTCGTTAGTACTTACCGAAAATGGGGCTAAATATAGAGAGCCCGAGGACTGCCCCTCACCCTCCTGGCCCCATTGGCCTGTCCCCTGGGTCCTCTGCCTCCACAGCCTTCATCGAGTCTATGGCCTGGGAGCCCCCACAGGCAGGGTTGGGCGCTGCCGGGAACCTCTGTGGGCCCAGCTGGCCCAGGCCCCTGCCTCCCCAGCAGTGGCACCTCACACCTCCCAGCCCTACAGCTGTCCCAGGTAACCTCAAGGGACTGAACACTTCTGTGCTGTCAGGAGGGATGGAGATTCAGGTAGCAGACACAACAGGCGGAGTGGCGCGCACCACAGTCACAGCCAGTGAGGCCAACCTTCCCACCCCTACATGGGTGTGTACAGACCCCAGAGAGGAGTGCACACCGAGGACACCAGCCGGCACAGCCTCATTCTGGAACTGATGAAAGAATGCATGGAAGGACCCTGGTGGACTAGGTCAACACAACCCAAAATGAGCCGAGCTTGGTCCTATCTATCATACCCTGTGATGCCAAAGCAGCCCTTCCTTAAGTTTGTAGATAGAGGAACTGGGGAAATGGCTCAGTGGGTAAAACACCTGCCATGCAAACATGAGGACCTGGGTTCAAGTCTCTAGGACCCTGTTTTCAAAAAGCGGGATGCAGTAATGCATGTTCTGCAATCCCAGTGCTTCAATGGCAGGACAAGAGGTAAAAACTACTTAGGAGACGGCCGACCAGCTAGCCTGTGGTAAAAACTACCTAGGAGCTAGAAGACCAGCTAGCCTGTGGTAAAAATTACCTCGGAGCCGGCCAACCAGCTATCCTTTGGTAAAAACTACCTAGGAGCCAGCTGACCAGCTAGCCTGTGGTAAAAATTACCTAGGAGCTGGCCGACCAGCTATCCTGTGGTAAGAACTACCTAGGAGCCGGCCGACCAGCTATCCTGTGGTAAGAACTACCTAGGAGCTGGCCGACCAGCTAGCCTGTGGTAAAAACTACCTAGGAGCTGGCCAACCAGCTATCCTGTGGTAAGAACTACCTAGGAGCTGGCCGACCAGATAGCCTGTGGTAAAAACTACCTAGGAGCTGACTGACCAGTTAGCCTGTGGTAAAGAAGGAAGAAGGAAAGGACTGACATCCTGAGGTGACCTCTGACCTCTACACAGACTTACCCACACTCACGTTTGCATATGTGGTGCACACACACACACATCCATGCTGTATCCATGCACACCCACATACGCAAGACCTACAGGGAGACACACGCTTAGACACAATACCACAGGTTGGTGTACAAAATGTCATCCAGACACATGTACACAGATGTGTGTTTACTCATATCCAGAGTAGTACACAGACACATGCACACTCGCAAATTCAGAGGTACAGACATATCTGATATGCTCATGTCCAGAGTCAGAGCGCTCTGAGAGATAACCAAGCAGACTCCTGAGATACTTCACAGACGGGGACAATGCAGTGAGTGGCCCGCCCAAGCCCTCAGTGTATTGATCTCATCCTGCCAATGTATTGATTCTTGTCAATATTACATGGTGAAAACCTGTAACAGCTCCTGGATAGGACTTTTTCTTTCTTTAACCCTTGAGAAAAATTCCCAGTAAAGAGTATAATGTTTGGTCCAGGGCCTAAAGCTCTCGCTTTACCTCAATCACAAGTCAGCAGTGCAGTCAGGACACATGAGCAGACAGTCTGGACCTTGTGTGTACACTGAACAGGTATACATGTATACAGCCACACAGTCACCTCAGTGAATGAATACATGTCAATCTGTAATCTGCCTACCTTCATTGTTTTATATATCCTAGCTCAGACAACTCCTCCAGCAAGCCTTCCCTGCCACCATCATAGCTGAACTGGTTGTCTTCTGGGCTCTACTCTGCCTGCTTCCTCGTCCCACCCTGACCACCACAGGACTGTCTCTTCCCACTGAACTTGGAGCTCCAGCAGGGCAGATCTAAAGCTGTCTCACACCGCTGTATTCCCAACACCAACACCCAACAGAGAACTGCTCAGTGGACGGAGGTGGTTGAAGGGGCCCAGCCCCACATACTTGTGGACATAGGAGGGATACACACTAGCCAAGACTCACGACTGTGGTCACCCAGGAACTTAACACACACTCAGCAGAAAGCAGCCGTGAAGCAGTGAGCCCTTGCCATGTCCCAGCACTGTGCCATGTTCCCTTATGGTTCCCAGCACGCCACGGAGGCATGCTCAGTCTGGACGGAGATGTCCACCTTCTCCGAAACGAGTCACCAGGCACCCGGTATGGTGCCTGCACAGCAATGCACAAACACAGAACGCATGCACCATGGAGAAAGCCAACGCGGGATGAGGCACCAGAGGGACAGGATTAGTGTCATTTTGCACTGGGGAAGCCAGGGAAGACTTTCATGAGGAAAGGACCACTGAGATGAATGAGAAGGGGCAAGAGATCGTGTATGCTAAGGCCCATACACGGGGATGCCACACAGTAGTCCCCAACACTAGATTATGCCCAAGCTACCCGAGAGTGATAAACACAGGGCTCGCAATACCACACACACACACACACACATATGTATGCACCCTTGCACATATCAGCTTAGAGGAGAATGGCACCACCCAAACGCAACAGTTTGACCTTTCCTATCCTGCTGCAGCTTCACCCAAGTTGCCCAACCCACCTGTTCCCCTCATGGAGACCAGCTTCCAACACCTGACTCCCTCCCATCTTCAGTCCCCTCTGTAGGGAGACAGACTGGAAGCTCCCAGTGCCTAATGCAAAACAGCAGCAAAGGGGAGCTGAGGAGAGAGACCAGGGAGGGAAGAAAGGGGCGTTCCTGAAGCGCTGGACGCGCAACCAAGGAGGACAGCTGAAGAGGAGGTGCAGGGAGGATCTGCAGTGGTGGTCAGCAGAGCGGCCCCAAACATGCTGTCTGTCCTCCCCACCCCTTAGAAGGCATTAATCGCTTACCTGGAGCCCCCATGCTGGAGTGAACCATGCTGCCCGCCAGCCAGGGCTGGGGAACAACTGTGTCATCTCCCCGCCCTCTCTAGGGGCCAGCCCTCCCTGCCGGAAGTCACCCCAGGAGGAAACCACAGGGTCGGTCCGCCCCCTACGCAAGGGAAAATACCCTGGCCCACAGACCTACCCTAGTGGCCCAGTCGACCCCAAATCATGTGTGTTATTTGAGGGTGGGGGGGTTAGTGGGGTGGAAAGCGAGGGAACTGGAAGAATTGACTCTTGCAGGGACCACACCAGGAGGTGTGTCTATACAGTGCCCCTGTTCCCCAGCATGGGGGTGAGTGAACACATATGGAACGGGGCATGTGGGGCTGAGAGAAGGGAGGCCACACAATAGCAATGGCAAGCATAGTTCTGGGTTTATTCGGGGAGGCTTCTCTCAGTCCCTGACCTTGAACCTCCCACCTAACAGGTGTCACCTTTCGGGCCAGTATTTTGTTCTTCGTTTCACAAACGGAATGACAGGATCAGAGAAGTGAACACCGGCTTTCTCAGGGACCCAGGGCCAAGAAGCAACAAAGTCAAAAAAGAATAACAACAACAACAAAAAAAAAAAAAAAAAAAAAAAAACAAAAAACCCAGGATGCTATGGACAACCAAGGCCAGCAACCTGTGCCACCGGTAAGACATCCCGGGCCACCACTAGGAAGAAATAATGCCCATGGGCAATGGCAGTGAGGGAGAAGGGTCGAAGCCGTAGCCAGGGACAGCTAGAAGTTTGTCAGAGGCTAAATGCGTGCACCCTCCGGCAGTGGAGCTGAACATGAGTCTGGAGGTTTCCTGTGGGGCCCTTCCCGCCGCTCGGCTCTCAGCCCTGCGGTTTTCTTGAAGCCCGCCAGAGGGCGGCAGCGTCCAGCCAATGGACTGGAGGGCGGGGCCGGCTGCGGAGGAGGGAGCCCCGCCCTCCGCTCCCTCCCAGTCCGCATCCTCTCCCGCCCCGCGCGCACACCTGCGAGGGTCACACAAAGGCGCACGACTCCCGGCGCACGGTGGCGCAGACAAAGGCTCGCCCGAGCCAACTGCCCCCTTCTTCTTCTCAGCTCCCTGAGTCCGAGGTTGCTGAGCTGCCCTGGCGTGTCTCCCAAACAGTTCTCCTAGTTCTACTAGGGCCAGCCAAGACACTCTACACCCCAAGTTGGAGGGTCCCCCAAATCACACGTACTCACGCAGACGCCTGGATTCATTCTTCTACACACATACACACACTGAAGTATTTCTTCTCAGACCCCCAACATTTTATACACACACACACACACACACACACACACACACCAAGGTCCCTGCACCACACATACTCCTACCACCTCACACAGACCCACTGGCACAGACACATCTACACACATGGACAGCCCAGGTCTGGCCACATGTGCCAACATTCCCACGTGCAGAGACCATGAGGGACACAAAGAACTACCTGAGTGTCCTCTGCCCCTAGCCCTATGCACCTGGACACTCCAAGACCTGGCAGTGGGCCTGACGGGAACAAACTCAGCTCTTATACTACACACGGAGGGGCAGTTCCTAGGCATCTACACTCTACAACATCCCATTATCGGAAAGGCCATTTCGGAGGACATCTGCAGACCCACAGCAGCCGGCTGCAGGACTTCTAGACGCGAGGGTCTTCCCAGAAGAACTCGGGGGCAGCAGGGTAGTGGATTCTTGTCTTGGAGCCTCATTCACCCAATAAGCTCCATTTTCGTTTAAGATTTATGTTTGGAGGGGCTGGAAATTAGAGTGGTGGAGGTGCTTTAGGGCGTTTTGGAGGGATAAACTCAGCTGCTACCCCTCCCCCACACCCCACCTTTTACCAGTTCAACGTCATGCATGTCAGAAGCATAGACACCGAGCTAGGCCCCAGATGGTGAGCAAGGAGAAGAAGGACCACCCATTTCCAGTGAGATATTCCTGGGTCTACTGGTGAGGCCAGGCTGCCAAGGCCTCAATGGTCCCCCCTAAGGATAAATCCCACCCCTTTTACCTTCCAGGCTGAACACCGAGTCTGAGACTCTAGGCCTATGCAGGGGATCCCAAAGAAGCGGTGAAAAACAAAGGGGCAGAGTTTGGGGGACATGACATGGGGGGCTGGCAGATTGGAATGGGGTAGGTAAGGTGTGGGAAATGATCTCCCTGCCACAGAAGAGGCCTGGGGCCTCGATGAGTAAGGCAAGTAGGACACAGGCATTGGGGAGCAGTGGGGGCCACTAGAGGTGCAGGCAGCCTGGAGGGAGGCGGTACAGGGTAGGAAAGACTGGGCTCAAGGCTGAGCGGTAATTAAAGGAGACGTAGGGGGCTCCCCAGGGCCAGCGGGGCCGGTAACTGACACGCGGGCCCCATTGCTCCGCTCATATTTCTCGCCGGATCGATACGTTTGACTCCCGACAAGACAATAATCGCTTGTACGCGGCCGGCGAGTCGATCAAATACATTATTAGAGCGAGGTCCCCCGGGGGCCCGCTGGGGAGCCGTAGGGGGGAGCAGCCAGCCCACCGGGGACAGTAGAGTGAGATTCTTCACCCCGCATGGCCCCCTGCCATGGCCTCTTCCTCCTGGCCACCCCTGGGAACCTTCTCCATGGCTCAGTCCTCTGATACCTCTCTGGACTCCTGCTATCCTTAGCAATCTTATCACCTAGCAGCCATGGGCTGCAGGAAACTCAAAAGGTCTCTCCCCTAGGCGAGAGGCATGCAGGTGCTCAGCGAGGCCCCTCGGACCCCCAGCCTGATGGGACACAGAGATGGAGTCGCAGGCCATGGAACTGGTAATTAAGGCAGAAGATGAACTTGGCTCTAGGAGTCAATAGTAGCAAACTTTGGCCTGGCCTCCATCTAGACTGTAACTAAACACGCTGGTCTTGGTGGAGCCCAGGTCAAGGGGCAGCCTCTGAAACATTAGGAACAACTGACTTAGCAGCCTGAACAAACAGGAAAACAGAATGTTAGGGGTAGCAAACTCATGATCATAGGGCTATGTAGCTGGTCTCACTACCCCAGACACTCCGCAGCCACACTCAGCCCCAGCTCTGGCGTGTGCGGTAGCACCAGGTGCCCACCTCTTGCCCGCTCTCTTGGCTTCTGGACTCAAGCTAAGCTCTGTGATTTTTAAAAAGGTTTACTTTATCTTACGCATATGAGTGTTTTGTCTGCATATATGTCTATGCACCATATGTGTTCCTAGAGACCACGGAGGTCAGAAGAGGACATTGGATTCCCTGGAACTGAAACCTCAGATGGTTGTGAGCTGACATGTGGGTGCTGGGAACCAAACACTGGTCCTCTGAAAGAGCAGCACCTGCTTTTCACCACTGAGCTGTCTCCCAGCTCCTCAAATCTCTCTCTCAGGTCCCTAAGTTTGTACTGCAAGCCCTTTACCAACGACTTATCTCCCTGCCCCTCTGTGAATATTTTAAAGACTTTTATAAAAATTACTTTTAATTATGTGTATGAGTCTTTTGCCTGCGTGTATGTCTGTGTACCATGCACATGCCTGGGGCCCACAGAGGCCAGAAGAGGAGACTGGATCCCCAGGGACTGGAGATACCAACAGTTGTGAGCTGTCACGTGGGTGCTGGGAATTGAACCTGGGTCCACTGGAAGAACAGCCAGCACTCTTAACCTCGGAGTCATCCAGCCTCTCTGTGAGCATTTTAATGAGCACTAGTGATGTGGATTTCCCTCTGTATGCTGTGAATACCATTAGTTAATAAAGAAACTGTCTTGGGCCTGTGCAGGGAATGGGGGGGGGGGGCTAAACTGAATGCGGGGAGGAAGAAGGCAGAGTCAGGGAGGAACCATGGACCCACCCACTAAGACAGACGTGCTGAAACTTTCCTGGTAAGCCACAACCTCGTGGTGATGCACAGATTAATGGAGATGGGTTAAATTCAGATGTAAGAGTTAGTCAATAAGAAGCTAGAGCTAATGGGCCAAGCAGTGATTTAAATAATATAGTTTCTGTGTGATTATTCCTGGGCTGAGCAGCCAGGGACAAACAAGCAGCCTCTCCCCTCCACCACACTAGGGGCTGCTGTGGAGGGATGCACTAAAAGGCATTGCAAGGGGCAGCTGGTGTGACAAGACAGAGTCAGGTTATAGCAGTAGGAGAGAAAAGACTTTGGCAGGTATTTCTGGAGACAACTTTGCCAACAGGCAAAAGCAAGATTTGGAAACTGGATGATGATACAAGTTGAGAAGGTGGTGGAATCAAGAAGGAACCCCAGGTACCTAGAACTCTTTCCATCAGAGACAATGAAGGAGGGGGCTAAGCTCATGAAAATCAGAGCCCAAAGAGATCTCAACCCTGTGGGAGATGAGAGTCAGTGACAGCAGAGGCAGCTTCTGTGGCTCCACCTCCTCTCCCCTCTCTAATCTTCCCCCCTCCTCTTCCGTGGAGACAGCATCTTGCCATGTAGCTCAGGCTTTTGATTCTCCCACCTCAGCCTCCTGGGTGCTAAGATTACAGACATGCGCCCCTACACTTAAGTTAACAGAAATCTTCAGGTCTGAGTCAAGAGATCTGTCAGGAAGACATTTGGGTAAACTGGAGGCAAGATGGGTGGTGGGAAGGCTGGGGCAGTGGTCCAGGGATGGGGCGAGGAGCAGATGTGGAGGGAAAGGACAGGTTGGTGGCAGCAGGGGTGATGCCAGGCAGCAGCACAGGCTTTGTGGATCCACATGGACACAAGCAGGCCTTCCTCCCCATACCCTGGTGCCACCCCCATTTCCACAAGGCTGCTAAAGTTTCCTGGTCACCTCAAGGAAGAAGTGGATCTCTGCAATGTGGTTCAGAGACCATAAAAGGTCAGCAGGACTGGAGAGATGACTCAGTGGTTAAGAGCACTGGATGCTCTTCCAGAGGCCCTGGGTTCAGTTCCCAGAACCCGCATGGCAGCTCACAGTCACCTGTTACTCCAGTTCCAGGGGGATCTGACACCTTCATCTAACCTCCATGGGCACCAGGCATACATGTGGTTGGTACACAGGCACACATGCAAGCAAAACACCTACACACACACACACACACAGCCCCATGAGACACCTGCTCTGGCACCGACTACCTGA